CATGTACTGAATTTTATGACTATTAAACAATTAAAAAAAACTTTTACATTTAATTCATTCTTCACTGAAAAGTTTCAATCGAAAGCTAAAACCTGATCGTAGTATGTTTGAAAGTATTATGGATTATTTAATAAATCCAGGTATGAATTAGCCTATTTTAAGATAAGTTGAGTAAAGTGTATATTTTTGTTCATTTGTTTTCCATCTATCACCAAAAAAGTAGTTGAAATTATTTCAAAAACAATGTCAACGTTGATATTATTTGGAAATATTCTGAAACAGTTCAATAAATTTCAAATAAATTAAATAAAAGTTAAATTATTTCAAATTTATAATACCCATTTTGAAATTAGAGGAAAGGGCTGGACTGTCTCGGTTTTTCAGTTTGGGAATTTGGTCCCCCTAGCTGCTAACCAGAATATTACCACTTCTTTACCATTAATTACACCAATTTATTGATATAAAGAACTTGTTACTCAGATACTTCTTCCAGGTCACTGAAACTGGAAATCGCTCATCAGGGGGCTCTTTAGAGTCTGGGTGGTATTTTGACTTCAAAGTCACCTCACTTTTCACATTTCAGCCGAAAACCTTCACCACTTAAATAAGGCAAGTGGTGCCTACCTTCACAAAAGAAAGGAAACCACAAGTTGCTAATGAAGGAAAAAAGAAGGGTTAGTAAAGTCATTAGCCTAACTTACACAGCGTGGGTCAGCACAGGCTTTTCTAATCGGAGATGGGTCAGGAGTTCAGGTTTCATTGATACATCTCGAGGAACAAAAACGAAACTATATCATACTTCACCCTGATACTTTTTAAATATAGTACGTGTAAAGTGTTTCTGCTTCACGACACTTCCAAACTTTTATGTACTTATAGAAATGAAATGCGACATTTCCTACGTTCATGTGGACAAGACAATACCAAAGTAAGGCTCCACCTGTTGGGTATGTTCTCAGATATACAGAAAACTACTACTTACAACATACCTCTACTGGGTAACATTAGAATTAAAAAAACAAAACATAAAGCTTGAACACATAGTCAAGAAGGTATAACATTTAGTAATCCAGACGTAAGCTAAGATTTATATAACATACAGAACCGTTAATGATCTGTGACAAGTCAGCGGCTTCACAGTCTAAAACCCTTTTAACGTGAACCGGTCAACTATGCAGGAAAGAGAGCGTATGAATTAACTTTGTAGTTTGATATCTTTTGTACAGTACCTTCAGAGAATGTTTAAACCTAGAAGCATCACTAGGTGCTTAATTAAAAGATTCGGGGCTGGCTTGGGCGTGGGAATTTTCGGCGTATCAGTATGATATCGATATCTGATTTTCCAAGACACCAATTGGGGATTCGGGTCCTGTGTGCCAGTGCTTAACGACTTTTCTGTTTAAACCTATGTTTGAAATTATTTTTTATCACACATTTCAAACTTTAACTTTTTTTTACTTTGTTAATTGACAACAGCCAGCTTTTCCACGGACTTGTTTCTCTGGCATAACAAAGTTTAATTTGAAGATAACTTTTATATGCGGAAACATCTGTTAGCTGAGTTCTTGCACAGATCTTAAAATATAGCGTTGATAAACGGAAACATCGGCACATGTAGATATTTCCTTTGCAACGTCTCAACAAACAATTGGTCCAGTTATCAACGCTATTTACAAGTTTTGAACAACTCGACTCTCAAGATCTAC